AATGGTTTCACTGAACAATATACGGCTTGCAATTATGCATACACAAATGTAATTAACCGTCCCGTTTATACTAGTGGTACCGCAGCTTCAGCTTGCACATCCGGCAAAGATGCAACTTATAAGTCCTTGTGTTCTACTGCGGAAGTATATAATGTAAATTCATAAATATACATTCCATCTTTTAATTGAAAGGAAACGATAGATATATGTACTAATAAATAATGATTATTTGAAAATATATAAGTAAATCGTTTAAGAGTTTTTAGAACTAAAAGTTAAAGCTAGGAAATTATTTCTATCATAACTACTAATGCTCTTTCAAAGTCTCTTATCCATATTATAACAATAAAAGTAGTATAACAGTAAAAAGTAGCTATATCAAAGCTAACATAAGAACTAAGTCCATCTAGAAATAAATAATGTTATTTCTGTATACTGTCAACTTAAACCCCAGTCATGTATTTTAAACATATTATTTATTGGATTTCATTAGAAGAAGAGAGCAAATTGAGCTCTTCAATTAAGTTATATTCAATAAAATATAATTATAATTAATTCTAAGCAAGACCCCTAATTAGGAAGACTGGTATTTCTTACATAAAATATATTTTTTTAGTTAAAAATTAGTTATATTTACTATTAGCACGTGATGAATACTTCAAGCAGTTAGGTCAACTATGTCTAAACCATCTACCATATAGGTATACGAATACCTTTTCCATTATAGTTTGTGATGTGTTTTACGGAAACTATTCCCATTCTTATAATTAGAATAATATTAAGGTTAAGGCAAATATAAATTAAAGTCTCTCTTTTTACAAATCGAACTTGAACTACTTTAACTACGAGTATATTAAGAGTTATTAAGAGTACATAAGCTTAAGGTCTATGTTATAATACATGAATTAATAAACTATTTATTTGTATTATTTCTAAAACTATATTTCTTTTAAGAATCCTATCAGTACTTTTATTAACAAATTTGCAACCGTTCTAATTATTTTTTACCTATATGTATGAATAAAGGCAGGCATGTATACTACATTATTGATATCAATATATTTATATATTTACATGAATGTATTTAAGTGAATTTTTACAAAAAATACATGCAATCATTTACAATGAATTAGTGATAAAATCAATAATGAAATTGCAGCTTATACATAGACGGAACAATATATGTTTATATCAAATGTTGCTAAAGCCATTTGCAATGTTTCTATACATGCATAACATGCATTATTAGGGTTTAAATGTTGCGAATGAAAAAACATTTGCAAATCGGTGGTAATGGGTTATATGAAGTCATGGGTTACAGCATATCTGATTTGTAGTTCTTTAAAGAACCAATATAATCTGAGTTTTATATCATTTATTATTTCAGAACTAGAAATGGTTATTAATAGGATTATGTCTAGATACAGTTTAGCAATGTTGTTAAGAGATTATTTATAATAACAATTTCTGAAATTTGATATATTTACATTTTTATTAATATAAATTAATATCTCTCTTTTTAGAAATCGAATCGGAACTGCTTTAACTACGAATATAATAAAAGTTGTTAATTATAATTATTTACATTATTTAAGTGAAACAGAGCGTAATATCTATTAAAGACACATTCGTTTTAAATTATTTATTAAAATCATTTGCTCTCATTCGGATTCGAACACGGAACTCAGTAGCAATGATCAGGGTTGCTAACCACTTGACTATTGAACTTTCTTATGTTGATATAAATATTTGAAGGTGAAGAAATTGTTTATAAAAGGCGAAATGAGATTATAAGAGAAGAACAAATCAGTTACTTGCAGAATCCTTAGTAAGAGTTAGAACAACAATATACACTCATTAATTAATTAAAAACAATATTTTTTTAATTTCGTATAAAAAAATTTAAATATATTTTTAAGAATTTACATTATACACTTCTTTAGTAGTACATAAAGATTTAAAGTTTGGATTTCTACCAGTTTTGCAACCTGAAGCTGCAGTACCACTAGTATAAATGGGCTTACCCAGAACATTTGTGTACGCATAATCGCAAGCAATAAACTGGTATGTGGTACCACTTTTAGTTTGGCGCAAAATGGCACAACCCATATGTGTTGCCTTCTCCTGGACTACTTGTGTGAAGTGACCAATTGCTTTACTGTAAGTTAGAAATATAAATGATTATTTTAAAAATTATAAAAATAATAAAAAAATCATAATAAAATACAATAAAAAAATTACCCATTTGTGGGACTCTTGTAACTGTTAATGTATGACATTGAACAATCCTTATATTCATTGTACCACAATTGTACATGTGAAACGGCAACAGATTGTACGGTTTTGGTAGTACCAGACCAGCCACTGTAGGCCAAGTTTTGACCAGCGAACTTAAATTTATCAGTATTACGACATTCATCATGGTTCATGACGCATTGCTTAACATTTAATTCAGCCAACTTGGCTAATTCTGCATCCCAAACTATAGTCGCCATACGTTTAGCGGCCTTATATCCATTTAATTTTCCAGATGCAATAGTATTCCTGAGGGTGTTATGTTTATTCAGCAAAGCTTTTTTTAATGCAGCTGTCATGGGCACGATTTTCGCATCGCTGGAACATGCCGATGCAAACGCCTTAATATATTCAAAATAAATTTTTATATAATATTATATTAGAACGGATTGTGAATGATAATTATGGAAAAGTTGTGCTTGTATGAAAAATGTAATGTTATTACAATAACAACTATGGCCTAAATTAAAAGAAATTTTCTATAATAAATTTGATTTTATTAAAACAATAATACTTTTGTAGTATCCGTAACAGTCCGAGAATTCACTGGATTAAAAATTGAGTTTTTGAATATAAAAATTTCTTCACTATTATTACTTTTCTATTGAATGATAGTTCTTTTATAGTAAGAGATTTCTTGTAATAGAAAACACGCGTTTGAAATAAAAAAATTAATAGAATTCCACACCATCATGATTTCTGAACCCTTTAAAGTACGGAGGAACATTATACATCAAGCTAAATGATATTGAATGAACAAAAATTGCTTACTGGCTAAATAAATCAATCGTTTTTGAGATGTTCGGAATAATTTTTATAAGTTTTTTCGAATATTCGACTCCTTGAGACCGTGTGTTTCAATAGGTACTCGTACTGATAATGGAATCTCACCAACCAAAGGCTTTTATATATTTTTTGGATCAAAAAACCAACATTCAAAGGTAAAGCACCTTAATACAAGATATCATGTATATTATACATAATATTCAACATTATTTAAATTTTGAGAACTTCATAGCATGAAATAAACTTTAAATAATATAAGATATAAGAATATACAATCAATATATAATATCAAGAGAATGATATTCTATTGTGCTCCTCAGTCCCAAAAGCAATAGAGCATCTTGATATTACAATGAAATATATCGAAAATTGTGTTATTTTTATATAAAATAATTAAAATTTAAATAAATCAGTAAGCACATATATATTATAGATTTCACTTACTCCGTTGTTATTGCAGGCAATATGCGTTGCACCGGATTTACATAATGTAGAACTGCAATAGTTAGTCGACAAAGTTAGTTCGATTAAAAGCGCGAAACTAAAAACGCCGATTAATTTTAAACACAGTGCTCTAGACATCTTTGAAAGTAATTAACTGATCTAATTCGATATTTGAGATGTTTATATACCAATTTTTCCTTCAAATAGAATACACCACAACACCACAAGTATTTATACAAGTGCTTCCAATAACAATAATTGTATACAATATTGTTTTATAATAATTAGTTTCTTAATTTTGGCCAAAAAAAGTAGATTATTATGTCGAAAACAAAAACATAGATTTATAGAAACATTGAAATCAAAGGTTTTGTGCGCGTTTTTTTTTCAAATGAAACATTTGGGAGCATAACGTTTTTCATAGTATCACGTACCCACACCACCCTTTCAGAATAATAGGATACTAACACTTTAACGCAGTTAAGTGCGTCATAATATTTTGATTATAATAATATATTTAATAAAATATTTATTAAAAACAAATTTGTTAAATTATTAAAACAATTGGTACACTTAAAAAAATATTAAAAACTTTTATTTATTATATTTTAAAATTATTAAGTGCGATTGAATTATTTAAGTTTTAGAAAATTAAGAAAATAATGGATAGCATTTAATCTTCTCCCTTGACCTAATAGTTCTTAAAATACTTCAGCCAATCATATAATAGCCGCCCGTTCTGGCTGTTTTTTTTTCAACCTTTTCAACTCCACCTATCTATTTTATTTATTACCGACTGATTCTTCTAAACCCTCGTTAGTCGTTGTACTTTGTGCTTTGTCCTCCTGTATTCTTCATTCTTCACGTAATAATGGTATAATGATATAATGGTATCCCCATTCATCAACTAATAAGTTATTATTAAACGTATACTATCACGACTAATAATTTAACATGGGAAATTTGTTGATAGTATAGATAAATAATTTTTTTTTATCAAGATTGGCATATAGTATATACAGTGTGAAACACAATTGAACTCCAGGGAACTTAAGGGCGATAGATGTGTCAAACCGATTACATTGTTAACTCGTAAAAGAGTGCGATAGATTACACGAAAAAAAAATTTAATTTTATCCGGGATGGAATTCATGTGTGATAATGTGGTTACCTTACATCTGATAGGAAAACTACAAGTTGGTATTTTTAAAGACCTGTAATACGTAAACATAAATAAATAGGTTGTGTCTGTTTTCGTAATACGAGTAGCTTTGCAAAACTTTATGGTAAGGGTCGAAAGAGACGTGTCACATCAGTAAAAATGGTCCTAAAAGTAAAAAACGGAATTACATGAAATTTATGTATATATAAATCTATATATATAAAAATATATACATATATATGTATATACGTATATTTATATAGGAGTTCGACTCCCTTCAATTAGATATGAATAAAGCATTTTGATTTCACATTTCTTTAAATTGTGGATATTAATAAATGTAAGCATCTTGATCTTTTCAATACAGAAGATACAAATTCATACTTAAAATTTTTGTTTTTAAAATTATGGGATGTTCATAAAAAATAACTGCAAAAGATTTTAACACCTGTAAATAATTAAAGAAATAATAATTTATTTCCGAAAAATACGCAGGGATCGTCGCTGAGTCGATTTAAATATATTTTTCATAATTCAGAACCTTACTGTCATT